GGAGAAAGTTTCACTTAAATGGCTTGGTCGAACAACAAGTGCTAATTGTTGTTCTTTGTAGTTATTGTGCCTAATAATCCAAAAGAGTACAGAGAATCATGGTTATTTTATTTTGGCAACATCAAAATATTTAATGATAAAGCAAGAGAGAATCTATTTTAATTAAGAGTCCATCTATTTGTTAAAATTTATAATACTATTTCAATTATATTGAAAAATGAATCCTTTAATATTCTATGAAGTTATACTGTTTTAACTAAAGAATGATATGATTTCAACCAATCAGAATTAAATTCTCAAAAATGAACATTTTTTGCTTATATTCTGAAGGCCTAACACTCTTAAGTATTCTTTGTGAAAAGTGTAAATTTCAACTAAACTGCAGATTTAATAAGACTATGATGTATAAGCATTGCCAGCTTTAGCCTTCTCGAGTCTACTGCTAGTGGTACCGCTTCAAAACCTGCCTAGGCGGGTTGGAATTTATTTCTTGGCGGGCCCACGGAATGAATTCGGTTGTATCTCTAGAATAAAATAAAATCTGGTTGACTTAAAAATTTAGCATTTCATTAAGAAATATTTGTTTTTTTCTAATCTATCACCAATGTTAAGGCAGATAAATCATTAATTAATTATATAATGTATTCAAGCATTGAGAATTGAAATCTATAATTGCAGAACTTTTGGGCTATCTAATACATTTATACCATCTTTTTTCTGTTAATTAGTGAAATATAATTTTTTTCAGGTTATTATCAAGTAGGAGAGAAAATATCATCTGACTCACAAGTCCGCCAGTTTGACTTAGAGTCTTGGCAGAGGAATGGGCAGTTATGAGCGCTCTAGGAACTTCTATTAAATATACTTTAGTCTCTGTAGCTGCTGGATTTTTTTTCTATCAATATTTTCCATCAACTGAACAAGTGGTGAGTAATGTTGTTTTTGTAGGATTATACACATATAACAATTATAACATAGGTATTAATAAATTAATTTTTACTGATTTCACTTTGTTTACTCATAGTACAAAAGAATTATGTTTGTTAAATAATTGAATCAAATTGAAATTGATAATAAATTACTTCTTTTTCCCTTATATTCAACGAATAACAAAGCAAGTTTATTACAATAATAGTCAAATTATAAATAGGACCTGCAATAAATTTGTCAACTATATGTTGTAAAGTAAATATTACATAGTGTTTTTGAATATTGGCGCGAAGGTGGTGACATCACAAACTACAGACAGGAATGATGGATGGTGGGGGAAGCAAGTCCCATATGTTGGGCAGAAGGTAGCCAGCCGGCTAGGATGGAGTATCGGTGAGAAGAAAATGTTAAAATAAGTAGTGAGTGTCAATAAGAGAAAATTGTAGAAGTTGGATACAATACCGAGGAAGATTCACCGCAGAAAAGAGTGAGTGAAATAAAATGGACAGTTCGAAAGCGCGCCAAAATGAGACCCCGACAAACAATGGAAATTCATAAAAGTGTTTAATAATTATTTTATATTGTCATATTGTATAATTGAGGATGTGTGTTAGTTGTCTAAACCCAACCTGAGAATTTATTATTGCATAAAATAAATATTTGATTAAGAAACGTTTTGTTTACTTCTCGAAAGGAACGTAACCTTACAATATATTCACAATCTTAAAACCTACAATGTTAAATGCAGGGTGTCCACCATACCTCTATAAGGGAATTTTATAAGCAAGAAAACGTAAGCTTGAATAATTGATTTAGAATGACTATTTGTCACAAAAAGTTTACTTAATGAAGTACACTAGTATACATTTGACTTTTTGAACATTTTATGATGTTTGATTTTTATTGTAATCAATAGTTATTTTATTACTTTCACTTACCTATATTTATTATTTTATTTCCTCCCTCCCTTCATGGTTGATTGCAGCAATGGGATGTTACGTATTGAGTAAAGACCCGCTGCTGCAAGTAAATGTTCAAAATTACATATCGTGCTGTGCACACAGCCTGTACATTTTATCTGAGAGTTCAGCTATAGTCCTCTTCTGCCCCTTCTGTGTCCGATGACCTCCCTCGTACACTTCGTTCTGTCCTCAAGGAGAGTGGTCTAGGTATATAATGGTTTTCCTCTCATATATAAGTTCTTTTATGTGAGGGCAATTTTCTTTGTTAATGAGCTGAGGAAACTCGTTTTTTGTAAAAACTCGTAAATATGAAATATATAGTAAGGGAAAGTATTGCGATCGTGAACAATTTCTAATCTGAGTTTTCAACGAAAATACACATTTTAATGTCCCCTGAATCCAAATAACCAAGTCTTGCAAAATGGTCTGTGCTGTGATCAGTCTAGCTCAATAACAAAAAGTCATACAAAACTGAAATTTCATATTTAAGGTTTGTATATATTAGGGATGTTACAGCATCTTTTTCGTAAAAATCGGCTTCACAGAAGTGCCACTTTATATCATCGATTTTATACAACATTTTTCTCGAAAACGGCTCAGTGATTTTGATTAAATTTGTTATATCAATGTAGAATTAAGCAGTTTTTAATATTATTAGGTTTTATTCTCCTTGATGTTCTGTAACAGAGCTTAAATGCCTAATTTTCAAAATTTCCTACTCCAAAGCACCTTAATTTGGTTTATTTTTAATAATTAAATGTCTCTCATTGTTAATAGTAATAAAACATGGCTCAATATAAACCATGAACTATGATAATTGACTATAGGAGAAAAAAAAGAAAAACGTTATTTTAGATCGAAAGTGATATTCCGGAAATAAATTTTTTTTTTTATAAAGCCCCGTGAATGCACTGCGGCCATGAAGGCCTACGAGTGCAATGGTATACTTATAATATATCATTGGAAAGCTGAGAATTTTAGAGAAACAAATATCTAACATTCAAAGTCATTCTTTTTTACTATGTCAGATCTTTCAGTATTTGTTGATTCCGACTAATTTCAAATATACCAGATTATTAATGTAGATCCGCTTCTCAGGAAGATACATGATCAAGGTTTCAGTTAAAAATAAAATTGTAAAAATCACTTTACAACTTGAGTGCAAAATGTATTCAAGTCGTATCGAAACTGATTAAAAATAAAAGTTGAAAGTTTATTTTAAGCTCTGACTTGGACATTGGAAGAAAAACAATTGGTGCTTAACAAACATTCTTTAGCTTATTAAAACTGAAAAGTAGCTTTCTCAACAGTACAAGAAAATTCATCTTTACAAGATGCCAATATATCCTGTATTGATTTTGGGCTGTCCCAAAGGCAGACAAAGCAAATTCAGGTTTGAGTAGAGGATTCTCAAGAAAATCTTTTGGGGTTGTTAAAGATCGGACCGGCACTTAAGAAAGAATCGGGAGCTTCATGAGTGTTATTGTGAGGTGGACTTGTTAAGTTCAGATGTTGTAAGGTTACATTGGAAAGTTATGCTTGACAGGTCTCTTGATTGGATGCTTATATATGATCTCCTAAAGACAGAAACAGCTCATAGGAAAATATGAATAGCAAGACCTAGGGCAAGGTGGCTGTGGAAGGACTCTGTTGACTTTAAAGATCCCCAAATCTGGAACTGGAAGTTGGATCACAGGACCGAGGCAACTGGTGGAAGGCTTTATTCATCAACACATTAGTTATTTTTTATGACTTCAAAAAGTTTGAGAATTCCAAGAAAAGGCATCAATAAACACCCAGTAAACTTTTGTCAGATTGACAAAGTTAACCAAGCAATTATTGTTAAAATAATTGTAGGTTCTGTTATAAGTCTCATCGCTTAGCAGTGTTTCCTGGAACTCAGTAACCCTTGTCTCACATAAAATATCACAGTCTGCTTCTGTATTTAATTAGCATCTATGCAAAACTTGTATCCTAAATTTGATAAATTAAGCATTAGAAATAAAAATGTGTTTAATTAAGGTTTAGCAGCAATGCACCTGAAGGGTTTTGTAATTCAAGTAACTCTTCTTAGTATTAATAATTTATTTTTCTGTAATTGTACATCCATTATTAAAAAAGCTTATGTTTTAATTCACAGTTTTAAATATTTTTTTTGATTTGACACTATTTTTTAAAATTGTTTTCAACCAGTTAGCTGAACAATACTTCACTGCTCCTTGTAATAAGTTATAATTAGTGAAACAACCAACTTTATTTGAAACACCTTTTTATCATATAATTAATTTTTCGTAACACTGGAAATTATTATTATTAGTAATGAATGTTTATTTTGATATTTTATAATTGGTTTTAGTAGTAGGAATGAAGGGTTAGTAATAAGGTACATACATACATTAAATAATAGCATTTTAGAATTAGTACTATTCAATTTCTCTTTTTTCATGTTATTTTTTTTGGAAGATTATTTGCACTTTACACTCTGAGATTATAAGGGTGTTTAATTACTTTAAAATGTTTCTAATGATGTAGAGATGGTTGACCATGATATAATATGAGGAGTTGATCGGGGGGGGGGGGGGGGGGGTGCAGTAAAAAAAATACTAAATTTTAAAAATGGTATTTTTAATTATTATGCCGACGTTTTGACCCACCTTGCAGGTCTTCATCAGGGCTACAAAAGGTTTAATAAAAATTAAAATCTTTTGTAGCCCTGCAAGGTGGGTCGAAACATCAAATCAAAATACTATTTTTAAAATTTAGTATTTTTTTTACCACACCCCCCGATCAACTCCTTCTCTTAAAATGTTTCTATTTTATTGTTAGATTGAATATTAAGACATAGGCTAAATTTTATGTTTGGTTATTTCCTCTTACACATGTCACAGTTAGATCACCCAATATGTCTACCGGTTTAGCCTGAAATTTGAGAGCTGGTTGCTCTTTGGAATGGTAGTGGTCCATTAAGACTTTGAGTTGTTAATTTCTTCTTTTTTTTTCACAGAATACACCTCGTGATTATACAGAAAGACAAAGAGTTCTTGATGTGATGCGTAAAGCCTCTGGATTAGATTTACCTAACAATCCATCAACCAATAGTAAAGAAAAATGATTCAGATTCCAGATAGTTTAGTGAAAAGGAATGAAGAAAGAGCAGAGAGATTAGGTCGTAAGAAGGAAGAAGCTGGTGAAGAAGAAAACCTAACTGATGTATTCCGTGAGACTTTCCGGTCTAAACAGACAGAGATTGAATCAGCACTGGATTCAGCAGAAAAAATTCGTGATAGGCAGGAACTTGCTGAGCGTTTCAATACAATATCAAAAGATATTCAATCTCTGAATAAATATGTCTCAACTTCTGCTCTATTTTTGATTCCTTATGATCTTCGAATGTCCAAAACTGTCCTTCAAGAACTGCAAGAAAGAGTTAATCAAGCAGAAAATAAATTGCTTCCTAAGAGAAAGTTTGGTTTTAGTAAAATAACTCTTGAGAAAAAGAAAGATGAAATCATTTGTCCTAAACGTGTTGATCAAGTGGACTTTCCTAAAAAGGAGGAACTCATCTTTGACACAGGTTTTGGAAATAGAGTGGGTGAAGTTTTGACTCTTAGCGGGGAAGAGCTTGCTGGAAAAGATGTTGTTCTTACCAAGTTACAGAACTGCGTGGTTTACCTGTTGGGGAGTTGTAGTACCCTTCACCTTTCTCAAATAAGCGGATGTAGGATCCTTTGTGGTCCTGTCACTACTTCAGTCTTTATAGAGGGTTGTAAGAACTCTTTGATAGCTGTGGCTTGCCAGCAGTTACGAGTTCATCAAACAGTATCTACAGACTTCTACATTCACGTTACAACGAAAGCTATTATAGAAGATTCCAATGATGTCAAGTTCGCTCCATACACCTTTTCTTATAGTAACCTTGTTAAAGATTTCCATATATCTGGTCTTGACCCACATTCTAATAATTGGGACAAAGTAGATGACTTTAATTGGCTTGTGAATAACAAGCAGTCACCTAATTGGAGGATTATTGAAGAAAACGAACGTGTTAAATTAACGTTATAGTTTAGTTACTTATATATATATATATAGATATTGTAAATTTTAATTTTTATTAAACAAAGTTTAACAAATTTGTATTTTTTATTTTTTTAAATCCATTTTGTATTGATACTTTCACTTCTAAATAAACGTTATTACATTACCTAAGCAATAAAATCAGAGGTGCGTAAATATTAAAACATCAATCCTTGTCAAGATATGGAGACAGTGGTAGAGTGCCATTGTTATTTTTTACTTCAGCCAAGGCAACTCATTTAAATAACAATTAATTAACAAATAACAATGAATTTAGAAACTTAATTCCATTAACTTATTTGGTGTAAACTAAATTTATTAAATTACACATTAAAAGGTTGCTGTCTTTTAAATTTACCAAAAAATTATATAAATATATACCATACTACAATAGGCATTTTCAAACTTTGTCAAGTTACCCAGTAAAATTGCCATTGCAAGGTTTCTATCTTTCAAATTTAGCTACTTATTATCTATATGGGTACCATAGTATAACAGGCATTCACAGATTTTATTAAATTTAACAATTATAAGAATTGGGTATCATATGTCAATGGCAAAAAGTCATTACGTAACATTTTATGAATTAAATCACTATTTTGATGATTTTTCTCTCTGTGAAATCAGAATCTTATGCATTTATTTTAAATATTTTTGATATATAAAAGGGTTTGTCATTTGTATCGTTTAATTACCTCTTTGCAATAAACCAATGATATACTGTCAGTTAAAAAGTCACAAGTCTATTTTTGATAAACCTATATTTTAAACAGATTTAATGAATTATTGAAGGAATTTAGTCGACTGTTCTACATACCATAGGTGATAAATAGTCAGGACGCAGTCATTTCAGTATTATTATTCGTCTAATAACATTTAATAGGACTTAAAGAATCACTTACACACCTTTTCATATATCTAGTTAATTTCTTTCTTTCTCCCTAAGTAATTATCCTAATATATGCAAACAAAAAAATGTCTTTTAATAGGACTTAAAGAATCACTTACACACCTTTTCATATATCTAGTTAATTTCTTTCTTTCTCCCTAAGTAATTATCCTAATATATGCAAACAAAAAAATGTCTTCAGGCTGAAGCTCCCCCAAAATTAAATCGTGGATCCATTAGTGATGTGGGTCATTATCTATTTATTGGTGTATCAAATAGACACATATACATTAAGAAAACTATGTTCAAATTCCACAGAGAAAAATTTATTAAGTGCTAAGATTCTATTAAATGTTATGTCTTGACTTATAACATTATAGCCACAATATATACGCTGTAGTTTTGCTAATAAGACATTTAAATTTTTAAAAGTTTGTAGAGTTCTTATTTTAACCCTAGAATGAAACTTAAATACGCCAACTCATCTTAACACTGTGGGGTGTGGTACACCCCAAATTTCAAAATTTTCATAAAATTTAATTGTCATGCCCTGGAAAACTCGAAATACTTTTCAGAAGTAAGCAAAATGATCAGGAAAACAAAAAAATAAATTCTAGGTAACTTTAGAAAATATATTTTATATACTCACATAAAGTAAATAAGTTACCTCGACATCACTAACAAATTAAAATAGGATCAATATTTTTCCATTCAAAATACATTGTTAATATAAAATACATACATAATAAAGGAAAACATTTTTTTTTACTTAAAAAGATAATAAAACCCATAGTGGAGGCCATTTAAGTGACCACTCACAATACAAGCAAACTGTTGTCCTACGTTCATTGCAGATAGGTAGGCCTTTTACATTGCTGACAGACCACTTTTTCCTTCCTGTCTTTCCTTCTCATGCAAAACGAGTATTTACGTTGTTTTTCCAACACTAGTCGTTAGTTTTATAATGTCCAAAATATATATGTTGAAACTCAACGTTCGTGTTTCCACTTGCAGTTTTCCTTTCAAACAGGGCTCAATTAACAAATAGCCTAATCCAAATAAGTAATTTCTCCATATCATCTTTTTTTCCCAGTTAACTAAGATGAACAATATCATACTGTTTTTACCAGCATGGTTTAACATTCCAAAGAAAAATCGGAGACAGCGTCCTCGTTTTTTTTTCTGATGTGTACACATGACACATTTGATCATAAGTTACTGTGCTGTCTTTATTTAATATGCTCCATGCATCTTTTAACTCGCATAGCAATTTATGGATTTCTTTAGGATAAATTTTATTTTGGTATTTGCCATACTAAAAAAATAGTTTCTATATATAAATGCATGAAAATATTACTAATTAACAAATATAATATAGAAATCCATATCTGAATTATTAGGAGTTTCAAAATAAGAAAGAAAACACAAGAGATACAAAATTCACAAACCCACACTGGGTTGTGTGATACACCTAATTGGCTTTCAATAACATCCAATTATAATATAAGCTCAACAGTGGAGCGCTAATGACCACAATTAGCCTGCCTAAGTATAATGTTAATTCGCATGAAAAACCTTGGCCAAAGAGCTACATATATAAAAGTTAATTAATATTTAAAATGTTGTGGGGTGTCATTATAGGGTTAATGAACATATGTATGAATCCATAAGCTTCAACAATTTTAGCTCCTGCCTCCAGAAAAAACCGAACACCTAATTAGATCAGAAAATAATAAGTTTAATTAACTATACATTGATCTCTATTATTTTCCAAAGGTGTTTTTTGTCTGTAAGCCTTAACTTAAATAATTCTTCATCAAATTCTATGATTGAGCTCATTTTGAAGATTACCTTTTCCTTCATGTCGGAAAAATTGAACTTTATATATATTTTGGGAATAAGTAATTTATTGCATATTATACCTCAAAAAGAAAAATAAAGATCAGACAATTATTAACAATACAACCTACCATGAAATTTGAAGTTTTTATTATCTTGAACAAACTATTGGCATTAACTCAAGGAAAGAAAATAAATTATTTCAACACAGTTAATTAATTCATGCCCGAGTTATTTAATGTTGTTTTCCAACTTCGAGTTTTTTTAAGCCTTTTATGATTCTTAATAATAATATGCATACAGTTCAAGGATATACAAAAAAAATTATACGCTGTTACACATTTTTTGTGAAAAATAAAACAGAACAGCACTTCAACAAGTCAGAAAAAAAAAAAAAGGAATGGAAAAGAAACAATATTTCTAGAGATAACTTTTATTCATTAATATCTTCCATTAAACATTTATCAAAAAAATACATATCATTCATGAGGCACCTATAAGCAAAAACAGATGACTAAATTCTAAAATTCAGTAAAAAATAAAATAAAATTAATCATCCTTTATTAACAATTGTGTAATAATCAACCCATTATGATAAACAGAAAACTAATGTTAACATTTTAATAATACATTTGACTAAATTCATTGTTTAGATAGTTTTGTTGATTACACTCATACCCACCAATCCTTAAGTGCAGTCCAGTATTTTAGGATGACTGAAGGTTTTCTGGGTAACACAATCCCCCACCCCTATTATTTATTATACAACATAAGAATCCTTTGAAAAGATGATTACTTCAATAATAAAACTGCCTAAGAGTTAAGTAATTGAAATCTCTGTTTAAGCTATTAACAAAAACAAATGCTAGTCAAACAAAATAAAGACCTTATATTTTTACTTGCTATGAATGCAATTCATCTAAAAATGTTACTAGGCTATAACTACTTCATTTAAATATTAATGTTTTAATACTGACCTTGAAAGATAACTACCACTTTTCATCTATTGTGATTCTCTTTTATCACAATTGGTAAAATATGAAATATTTATTTATAATAGGATTTACTACACTAGACTTTCACTTAGCAGCATCAAATAGAGCAGGATAACTCAAAGCATTTTAACAAGGCTGACTAAATCATTTCCCCAGTTACCCACTCTGAAATTTGTCTAATTTTCGAAATTTAGAATAGCTATCTTTGGCGAAAAAATAATAGTGCATAAATCCAGTCTTAGTGAAATGGTAATATATAAATGAAGGGAATGGGTTATTGTACAAATAAATAAGTATTTTTTGTTTGACCAATCCTAAACTTAGTGACAGAATGGCAGTAAAAATAAAAATACTTATCTATTTTTACTGATCATCCCTAACCATTTTTCTCTTTAATTATTCACTAGTCAACCATTAATCCATAAGTAGAATATAATTAGTTATCATGTTTCCCCCATTGGTTAGAAACTGTTCATTCTGAAATAGAGCTTAATGAAAAAATTTTATGGCACATAACTCATTTCTGGGCACAGCTTATTACCCTTATAGCCGATAACCATTCAGGGAGACCTTTAATAGTTAGATAAACACCCATTTCTTGTATAAATTTAAATTATTGGAAAAAATAATCAAGTGTTATATACAAATAAAATGAAGACTCATACCATCCAATCCTGAAATGATAATCAAAATCCACCTATTTAACTTCTAATATATAGTTTTATAAAAAGAAATTAATCCATGTTAAAAGACAGTGATGATCAATAATTGGCTGCTTACATAGTTGTTTTAACTAAAACCAATACACTTCATCCTCTAAATTTTATCAGCCTAACCGAACTCACTTTAAACAATACCTAAAGGCATTCTGATTCAAAAATATGAAATGAAGTAAGAATAACATGGTGCAAAACATTGGTCCAGTTTGACAAAATACAAAGAGGTCACTAGTGTTAATTTCAATCGCGATCGCAATTATACCTGAACACAATAGTAAACACTTTAACACTAGTACATTTTATATGGTTTAAATGTATACAAAGAATAAATAAATGAAACTTGTCGATTAATTGTTAGCGGTGATGGGTAAAGAATTCCAGGAGGTAGCATGAATCGACTTAGTTTTATGAGAAGAGATATCAATATGCAGAGATCTGGTACTAAGAGAATGGATAGAGGAACTCCAGTGAGCCTGGAAAAGGAACTAGAACCTATCTAAAGTACCAGATAGAATTTAGATTCCAGCACTTTCATACCATATAGTGTTAATCAACTTATACTATGGATATTTCTATAAGATTATCATTCTGGTGGTTTTATTTATTAATTTGTTGCCTTTTAAAGTTTTTCCGGTATTGATTGAAATTTTAAGATTAGTTTGATATCTTTGAGAAAACATTTAATTTTTTAGTTCCCGTTATAACAAACAGCTTTTTAAGATAAATGTGAACATAGGTTATAAAGAACTACTTCTATAGGAAGAGAATGGTATAATAAAAAATAAAGAGTACAAAATTGTTTTTCTTTTATTGAAATACAAAGGAGCAAATTTCATTTAAATTACACAAAAAAAACTAAACCAATAAAAATTAAAAAAAAAAATAAAATAAAGAAAAAGAAAAGAGGAGACCATCTAGGTTCATTTACATAATGCAGCAAGATAAAAAAATTAATGTAAGACTTACTGACATCCTACTATACATATTTAAGCATAATAATTAATAAAATGCAGAATTTACAATATTAAATCAAATACAATTATAATACAACTTAATTAGGGATCTGCTTGAAAGTCCTAACAATATCATTATCGATGTTATTTATAGACTGTCAAATGGACTAAAAAAAAAAAGGTTGAAAGTTACATCCCTACTACTAAATTACTTGAATGGTCATAAATGAAATTAAAAAAAAAAAAAAAAAAAAAAAAAGATAAATAAGAGTATATAAGTTTCCTTTAGCATTGAACTTTGTACAACTGAGCATGCTCAGAGTTCTCGAACATAAGATGTCGTAATGAAGCTTTCTTATAGCTAAGTTATAGCTTCATAGGTGCGTAGTAGTTTCAACTTTATCGACGTCATAACATGTGAGATCTGAGGACGACTGAAAACAGACAATCAAACACATTTTTGATCTAAAAAAAGATGTATCAAATAATTTTTTTTTTTCGTATTCTGTAGCCATGGAAACGAAGATATCTGACGTCGATCTATGAATCTACTTTACAAAAATTATTTCGATGAAAAAGTATAAAAAAAAAAAGAGTAGGTTTATGCATATTTTTGATTAACCACACAAAGTAAGTATTCGACGCGTTGATTCTTCCTATGAAGTTTACATGGCTATCGTAGAATAACGCTGAAACAATTATAACATGCTTTCAAGTTTGTAGGTATTTTCGAAGAAGATATATGAACAGTGTAACTATGTTGTAGATGAAATTTGATGAGACTATTAAAAGGTAGACAATACTTTTAATAATTTTTAGCAATATAAAGACCTAAGACTAATTTCACGAACCCACTAGAGTTGACATTTTTAATAAATAGGAATGGCAATAAAATAATTTATATGAATGATAAAAAAACATGCTAATTAAAACAAAATTATAGTTTTATTATCATGAACCCACTAGAGTTGACTTTATTATTAAATAGGAATGGCAATAAAATAATTTACATGAATGAAAAAAAAAAAACATGCTAATTATAACAAAATTATAGTTTTATTATCACGAACCCACTAGAGCTGACATTTTTATTAAACAGGAACGGCAATAAAATAATTTACATGAATGAAAAAAAAACATGCTTATTAAAACAAAATTATAATTTCATGATTTAAAAAACATTAAAAAACTATTTCAAAGTTAATGGGAAATTATTATTTAACTGGGACAACATATGAGGAGAGGTTCAAGTTATAGTGGTGTTCGGCGACATTTACACCAATTTTGACTCAGGATATCTTCAATATTTTACCCATTTCAGGTTGTATTCCTGGATTTAAGCCAGAATCTTAGAAAATGACCCAAACCACTATAACTTGCGCCTCCTCTTATGTTAATACGATACAAGACAGATTTCACTTAATTTAGAATATTTGAAAAAACATAATTGTATGACAGGGAGTTAAATTATTATTAAAGCATTTTTGTAAAAAAGAATGAAAAGTTAAATTATTTTTAGCCCTTCAAGAACCTGTATTACTAAATAGAAATAAAAATTCAAGATTTATAATTTATGGGAACATATTAGAAAATAAAAACTATAGCAACACAAATTTGAAGGGCTAATAATCAATACTTGTAAATAAAGATTAAGGTTATAAAAAAATAAATTTTTGATTGACTAATTTTAAAATGAAATAAGCTTTAAAATGGTAAGACATACAAGAAAAATTCTAATTGCCAATTCCCTTAATATGATTTTCAAATACTGAACTAAGAACTTTTAATATCTTCTGTGTCATCTATCTATATCTGGCTATCTATGAATGTGGTATGTAAGAAGTAAATGCAGAAGAAAAATAATATTGACAGATGTAGCCATATATTGAAACTGCAATAAGATCAGATTGACGTTATGAAGTTAATTATGCTAAAGTGTATAGATGATATATAAATTCGTAGAAATGGAGTACCTTATGCGGCTAAGATGGCTAATATCCGCCACCACTGCCTGAGTAAGAATTTCGTTGAAAACCTCCTCTTCCGTAGCTATTACCACCACCGCTTCCTCCGAATTCCCTTCTACCACCGCCACTGCCGCCGCCGCCTCCGCCTCCACTGCCGCCGCTGTAATCATATCCAATATACACACACCTCGCCGGCAACCTCCAATGAACAACATACCACCTCAACCATTCTCCTAACCATACTCGTAACCACAGTGGTAACGAAATTATGTACAGTACAGGAGATCACTTGCATCCATTCAAAAGAAATGCAAATATTGAAGTAAATATATAAAAAAAAAATCAGCAAATTTCTCTATATTTATGTATATAGAGTAAATAGTAATGAAAATTATATATTAAAAAAAAATAAAAAAATAGATAAATAAAATGTAAAATATACCAACAATATTTAATAAATAAAAAAATAAAATAAAGTTAACATATAAAAACAATCAGACACACTCAGAACTAACTTCGTTAAAATATATAACTTGCATAGAAAAGAATCTTTACAACCAAACAATATGTTTCGTATAGTAAATGAAAAAAAGTTCAGGAATCAAAGAAATCTCAACGTAAAGAAAAACAAATTTTGTAATACTAAAAATGATGCATATGGAAATTTGGTTTAACCAATTTATAATATCACTATCTATTCAAAATCTACATCACATCAGATTTGGTAAGAACTACTCATTATTACGCAGATGAGTGACTATCAGTTAAATGAAAGATTATCTTTAAATCTTCCAAGATTCACATCAGTAAAAATGAATTTGTAGATTTCTTCCCAACTAAACTGCAGCCATTAAATAAAGCAGCTTCATCAGTAATTAAGATCAGAAGAACTGAGTTTTATACACAATGTCAGTGTTATCATGGTTTAAGCATAGTGCACAATAATTTACACCTTTAAAATATATATTTTAGTGCATTAACATTACCGACGCCTAGTTCACATGAAATTTACTAGATTAATTAAGATCAGAACTGATTTTTAAGCACAATATCAGTGTTTCATGGCTCAAGCATAGAGCACAAGGAATGCATAATTAACACCTTTAAAAAAATAAATTCAAGTACATTAATATATTGTCGCCTAATTCACATAACTGTTAAGCTAATATGAAATTTGCAGCTTCTCCCAATAATTTGTCTGTTTTCAGGTTGCCCTCATTTCTCACATGTAGATGATAAAAGGACCAGGCAGGACTCCAGTAACGAAAAATTCAAATCAAAAATGCAAAATTCCTAGAGAGAATCTACTACTTCATTCTCATCCACAATAAGGAGAAAATAAGACTTGATAGATTTAATGGGATGATAATGGATTAAAAGAAATTAAAAAAAAAAAAAACCTTAGATGAATCATCTTAATTAGAAGTGACCAAGATTTTTGGTACTAATTCAAAGTATCAGATAATTGGATGACAGGTGGCCAAAGATCATATGAGACACACTGCACATGAAATCCTCTAAGATGTAGATCGGTTAACTTGAACAACGATAATAAATAGCTTTCACTGCTAAAAGACTTTCAGAATGTCATATACAGTATGATATATATGATCTTGCCCCACCAGACTTAAAACTTCTGAACTATTAAAGCAGTTTTCTTCAAACATAACCAAGATTCTAATCATACTCATTTGCCTACAAGAATTATAACTATAATAAGAGAAGTTTGCTCAAGAGAAATAGAAAATACATTATTTTTTCAACAGAGCAGGAAGCAACTTAACTAAGATGTTGGAGTTAACGCTAATTTATAATAAAGCAGTCCAGATTACCATAAAAAACCAAATGAAATTACGTACAAAAACACTGATCTATTCCATCAGAAACAAATCAAGTTGATCACCTTAATATTAACCTTTATTTTGAGTGATCAGAGCGAAGTAGTATTTGAGAATTTAAACTAATACTCTTTTGAAAATACTTGCCATTGACAACCTAGTCTAAGTAATCTAAAATTGATTATTAACCAAATGTGAACCAATTTTAAGATGAAAACATATTTCAGAAATTAAGATTTTCTTTAAAACAATTTATCATTGGGTACTTGCATGAATTTTAAATAGTGTTTTGTATTTGTGAAGAAGAAATCATTAGCAATTAAGAAGCAATTTCATTATACAGGAATAACTTATGTGTTGGGAGCACTGAATACACAGGAAAAAACTAAAGAAATTTATCATTGAATTAAAAATTATACTTCGGTTATCTGGTAAGAATTCTTATTTCTTAGTATAATTTAAATGCTAACGTAATAAGAACGACCAAAAGTAACGATACATAAATAGCAATAAGTGGTAAAACCTTTGAAACACCTTAAGGATATTCTTGGTCATCCAAGACAAGGGAGGTTCTTTCTAACTTCTCCTAAACAATATTATTATCATACTTAAACTGACTAAATTATCACATTAAGTTAAACATTAGGGAAGAAATTATATACGACTTTTAATAAATTATTAACTAGTAAGCTTAGTATTTATTAATTAATAACAGAGCAATTAAATTCTGGTAAATGTCCCAAAAATAGTAGTTGGTTAAGTAATCATCCAGGAATAACTAAGCTATTAAAAAGACTAAAAATCTAAAACTGATTCGATGTTGCCCTTACAAATTATCTGGTCTAAAATTTATGTTAGAAAATAAATTACTAAAAACTTGGGGGGAGGGGAACAAAACAGCAGCAAATGAGAAAACTGGTTTTAACCATTACTATGCCCAATTTTGTTCGAACCTTCAAAAGAAGACACAAGTTACTTTGGCAGAGAATGAAACCAACAAAATAATAAAAATAAAATTTGATAAACAGAAATTAATAAAACATTTGGAATTGGCGTCACCCGCCTCCAAAACAGTAAATTAACGTAATCTTCAGTTGTATTACCTGAACCTGTGTGGTGATCTGCTTCGGAAACGTGGCTCCCTGACACTAGAATAGCCATTACCTTGGTAACGACCACCTCCACCACCTTCCTTGTTCCCAAACCTATCGCCTCCCCTATCACCACCGCCGAATCCACCTCCTCGTCCACCACTGCCCCTAAATCCGCCACCACTACCACCCCCACCTCTTCCCCTTCCTCCACTACTTCCTCTCCCACGTCCACCACTACCCCCACGGAAAGAACCAGATCTACCTTCATCCCTCATTCCAAAACCACGACCACCACTTCCTCTGCCTCCACCACCTCTACCACGCCCTCCACGACCCCGCCCTCTAGATATTTCAACTCTTAATTGGGCCCCCATTAGTGTAGTATTATTCATATTATCACAAGCTGTCTCAGCATCTCTCATTTCAGCAAACTCAACAAAAGCAAAACCAGGGGGGTTGTAAGCTACCCAAACATTATTTAGTTTTCCAAACTTCTCAAATGCAAATTCCAGGTCTTCTTTTTTAATTTCGCCATCCAAGCCACCAACATAAACCCTTACTCCTCCACTTGAACGAGGGCCACCACCTTCAGCAAAATCTCTCATCTGAAAAATTAAGAATTAATCAGTTAAATATACTTCAGCGAAATCTCTCATCTGAAAAATTAAGAATCAATCAGTTAAATATAAAGTTAAAAAATCCATGAATAATTTAATTCAGTGTACAGATGAATGATAATCAAGTCAGAACAAGAAGTACGATAACCATAAGGTTTTTTTAGTCACATGAACTGATAATAAAAAGAATCACCACCTTCTGAAAATGAATTAACTCACTTAAGAGACCTAATAAAAAGCTCTTTCAGAGATCCGAACAAAATTAGAATATATTACTGCCTAACAAGAGATTGAAGTTAGAAATTTAAATAACAGATGCTTTAATAAATGCTTTAATGATTTTTCGTGGATTGTTGAAAAATCAAAGAGGGAATTAATTCAAGTTACAAACAAGATGATTAATCATTTAAATTCAGAAAACGACAGAGAACTCTACATCTAAAATGACAACTACATACATAACAGGAGTACAAAAGGAAGTTGTGACAGAAAAACACCAGTGTCCAGTCAAATAAATACTAAATTTTTAATAAATAGTATTTTATTGAACTAAATAGTATTATACAACAAAACAATCAAAAATACTATTGATTAAAAATTGAGTATTTCAAATGAACCTATACTATTATTTTAATCTAATAATCGGCCTTGTCAAGTATTGTTATTCTTAGTTGTATTATTTAATAATTTAATTGAGTAACGGAATCACGATTACAGTAGATTAGATACAAATTATATTAATTTTATTAGCAGACAAATATTACCATCAAACTGTTTATTACATTCATGTACTCCAAGTTTATTCCTAAACATCAGAAATAACTCTTGATTGATGTTGAGTTTTTAATAAGTACATTTTCATTAATTTCGATTATATTTTACAATAGAACTGTATCTAAAAAAATATTTTGATGTCATAGAGGAACATTGATTTACTTATTTGTGATGAATTTATTTTTGTTATTTAGCTTTTTTTAAAAGTACATCTTCTAAGAGTTCTAAAAGAAAGGAAATGAATTATCTTTTATGATTGATTCAACCTTAACATGTACTTATTGAATGGCACGCCACATGTGCACAGTTGAAGACTAATGGCAAACAAGCAATCATAATAAATAAAATTATTTAAACATGTTTAAAATCTTAAAGCTTAATTCTGATAATTTAACATAAAGAGTAAATGTCGCCCTTAAAACTGAATTGATAGTAATTCCTAATATCAATATGCAGATTTCAGACATGAAAAACATGTATATTTGTAATAGCATATGTCAGAAGAGCAGTTTAATATTCACAATCAAACGAAGATTAAGTAGGGTTGATAAAGCTCATTTGCTGATATTTGAAAAATAAACAAAAGACTAGAATAATAATAAGTATAAGATGCCAAGATCATAAATAATATACATTTCACCTCAACACAAACCTAGGTGAACAAAATGGAAGCATAAACAAAACATAATTTAATTGACTATGGCAGCAAGTAATGCAGATTTAAAACTGCAATGCAATCTAGAGGGAATTTAATTTTGTTATGAACTCGTTGCATATTAGTGATTCAAATAACAAGAATAAATGGTCAATAAAGCATGTATGGAAAAAAAAAATTATTTTCAGAAACTAACAAAGCCATAACTAAGCATAAACAAAATCTTTGTTTCTAGCTTCTTAGCAGTTTTAAATATTAAACATTTAATACTAATGAATTAGAGCCATGCAAAACCAAATATCCAATAACAGTGTGATATTAACTATGAAGTACTTGATGGTGAATCATCAGTTCAATGAAAAATCGACTCATCTCTGTTTAATTTTCAACAAAATGGATGCTACTAAAACAAATGTATAATTACCTACAATGTAGGTAGCATCCATATTAGTAAATAATTCCTCTGAATAATAATCTTGGGTCTACATACTGATTTTTAACACAAAGTTAACAATGGCCGGTAACGTAAAAAATGAGATTTAAAAATCATAGTAGGTACAAAAATTAGGTAGTTGCAAATTGAAACGTGCAAAAGGAGTAAAAAAAACCAAAACGGTGAAAATAAACTCTATGAACTCACCGTATAATTACTCCTCTACACAACAATGAACACCCGAATTACAACATGCTAGTTATAAGGTAAAATCTTTGATTCAATACGCATTTACTCATCACATGGAAGCTAAAATGCAATAAAATTAACTTAATTCAATAATAATAATATAAAACTTACTTTAAACAAGTTCTAAACAGGTTGTTCTTCTTCAGCCGAATTCAACTGTGAGGGCGTCGGGTTGAAAAAGAGATCGATGCAAGATGTCCGCTTCAGAAAATGTTTGTCTCACTGCCTTCTAAATATTATGTATGGCGTAATTACTTATTTATAAAATTATTGAACAGATAAATTGCTATAATCAATTTTAAAAAACTCCTTAGTCCTAGTAAAAATTTTACATATAAATTATCAAAAATATTTAAGGATTAGGGAAAAACTTTTCGAAAGTAATGTGTTCCGGCTAAATAAGATTAATTTTATTTAAATATTTTTCTGAGTATTAAACTGAATTACTTTTAAATCGAATTGAATCGCTTTTGTTATGGCGTTGAATCACAATAATTTCATTCCAGAATTTAAAAACTGCTATACTAAACAACTTGCCTAAAGTAAACACATTTGGCGCTTTGATGATGTTATTGATTGCATAAGAAATGATTGATTCTATTGCGTTTTAGATTTTATTTATTTTATAATGTTTACTTGGGTATAATTTAGTAAATAAGGGATACGACATGACTGAAAAATTACAAAATGTTATATATCATTATATAATATTGTAAATAATAATTAATATTTACTTTTTATAATGCTTATTAGCTTGTTTCTTCTCGTTTCATACCTATATTTTGTTTTTAGAAATGTTCATTTTTTTAAATTAATTAATTTTAATTATAAACATGTTTATTTGTCAAGCTTTTTAAGTTTTACTTACTTATTAGCATTACTTACTTATTTAGATGCAGACTTTGAGGGGAGATGGCGAGGAGGGCGATCGCGTAGGAGTACATACACAAGTATTTTACCACACCCCAGGCCCTCGGTCAAGAACCAGAAGTGGGGACCCCACATCATGACAATATATATATAAAGTGATTTCCAGGAATTTAAATATATAAGAAATTTATAGATCCTCAGAAACAGTGGCGTATCCAGGAATTTTCTCAGGGGGAAGGGGGCGCACCTCTAGACGTGCTCCCCCCTCCCCTAGCCGTTCCTTCACCACTACCTATCTCCCTCTCTTTCCTTAGCTGAATTTAGTCTGTCAAAAGTCCTCTTTAAATGATTTTTACGAAAGCAAACTCTATTTTTATTTAAAGTAAATTTTGTCTAATTTACACTGAAGCTATCATTAATTACTTAAATTAAATAGTTTTTTTGTTATCACTTTCTATTCAACAAAAAACGTGAAATAAAAAATCACAAAATTTTAATTCCCTACTTTTCTGCTAAAAATCGAAGCATTGTTTATATAAACTTGTTTGTACTTATTGAGTTTTGGTATCACTCCTTTAAATATTTCACTTTACTTACGAGACACCCTGTATATGGGTTTAGACATGTAAAAAACTAAATTGCTAACACGGGTCACCAAGGCAAAACTTTTTACAGCAATAAATTACAGATTTATCTGATCTTCTTTTTTTTTCATGTATTACTACTAAACAGTGCATCAAAGCGAAAAACGTATTCTTTAAGACATTAAAGAACCACAAATTGTGCGTCGAACGAGTACCTAAACTTAATAATTTAATTAAGTGATATGGTCGATAACCACGATCAATGAACGCTTATTTTTACCAATATTGTCAAAATCTGAGAAAGATTACTAATGGAACTGCAGCTTGGAAATGAGTTCTCTAAGAAAAAAAAAAAAAAAACTCAGAATAATTTTCGATTCCGATCAAATTGTAGAACAAATAATTAGTACATTCCTTCATAAAAACGTTCCAAACAGCAGCTATTTTAATTAAAGCACTACACTTTCTAATGAGAAATATACAAATTATTATCGTGAACAGTTTCATGAATCGCATGGATTCTTCAAGGAGACTATAGTTGCTGTAGGTTACAATGTGCCCAGATCTATTGGAACTGTGTAAAAACTGGGTCCGGAAGAAAACCCGTATTTTCTTGTGCTCGGATAAAATGTTCGAAAGAATAGATGAAGTTTTTTTTTTTTAAATAAATTTTCCTCCATCATGTATTTCACCTGCGTGACTCAGTTCGGAATAAACAGGAACAAACTGCGAAAGGAGGACAAGCCTTCCCATCTCACGGCAGAACAATTTTTTTTTTTAAATCTTTTTTTTCATAATTTTATTTCTAACATCCAGATAGGGAGGCACCCCCAGGCAGAAATCACTAGTGTTAGTCATGATAATAACTTTTTTCTGTATTACATTAGAAAATTCGTCTATGAGAATGAATTTTTCCTGTATTTCTCTTTTCATCAAATAGGTGTTTTTTGGCATTTTTTTTCATAATCCAAGGGAGGGCGCCCCCCTAACAGAATTCGCTAGTGCTGGTCAAGATAATCATTTATTTTTTTTATATTACATTAGGAAATTCGGGTATGATGATGAATTTTCCCTACATTTCTCTTTTCTTCAAATAGATGTTTTTGTCACTTTTTTTTCCATTATCCAAGAGAGGGCGCGCCCCAAGCAGAATTCGATAGTTCTGGTCACGATAATCATTTTTTTTTTTATATTACATTAAGAAATTCGGGTATGAGGATGAATCTTCCCTACATTTCTCGTTTCTTCAAATAGGTGTTTTTTGTCACTTTTCGGAATTTTTTTCCCGCGATCCTCGGCTAGATCCGCTAGTGCTCAGAAAGAGCTCCCAACTGTTCTACGGCGATAAAAAAATTGCATAACATTTATGCGCGGAAATAAACGAATACAAAACAATTATTTTTGGGATACTAGAAAAATACAA